AGGAGGAGAAAAGGAGGAGGAGGAGGAGGAAGAGGAGAAAAAGGAGCAGGAGACGAAGGTGACCCCTGACGGGGTGAGGAGGAAGAGGAGGAGAAGGAGGAAACGGAGTAGGAAGGAGGATGGGAGACGAAGAGGAGGTGAAAGGGAGCAAGAGCGAGCGAGAGGACGAACAGATGGAGGAGGAGGAGGAGGGGGAGGGAGAGGAGGAGGGGGAGGAGGAGGAGGAGAGAAGAGGAGGATGAGAGGAGGAGGAAGAGGATGAGGAGGGCGAGGGGACGAGAGAAGGAGCAAAGGAGGTGGGCCGCTGAGAACGATGGGACGGTGGGGGGGAAGATGAGGAATGACGCGGAGGAGGAGCAAGGAGGAAAGGAATGGAGGAGGAGGAGGCGGAGATGAGGAGGAGGAGGAGGAGTAGAAGGGGGAGCCTCCGAGAGGATGAGCCAGCTGCACCCGCCGAGGAGGAGGAGTAGAAAGAAGGAGGGAGAAGGACGTGGCGTAGGAGGAGGAGGAGAAAAGGAGGAAAACAGGACGAGGAATGGGGAGAAGAATAAGGCGGGGGGGCCCTGAAAAAGGGGGGGGGGAGGAGAGGATGAGTGAGAGGAGGAGGAGGAAAAGAAAAGGACAAGGAAAAGCTGAAGTAGGAGAGGGAGGGAGGAGCAAGGAGTAGGAGAGGATGAGGAGGAGGATGATAGGCGGGAGGTGGAGGAGAAGGAGAAGAACGACGACGACGACGACGACAGCGACGACGACGAGACGACGAGGAAGAGAAGGAGGAAGTAGGAGTCATAGACGCGGGAGAAAAGCCGAGGAGGAAGAGGAGAAGGAGGAGGAGTAGGAGGAGGAGGAGGATGAGGAACAAGAGGAAGAGGATAAGGAATGAAGGAGGAGGAGGAGGAGGAAGAGAGAAGATGATAAGATGAGGAAGAGAGGAGAGGAGAAGGAGGAGGAATGAGGAGGAGGAAGGATGAGGAGGGGAAAGGAGGGAGGAGGAGGAGCAGCAATGAGGAGGAGCAGCAGGAGGAGGAGGAGCAGCAGCAAGAGGAGGAGCAGAAGCAGCAGGAGGAGAAGAGGAGCAGGAGGAGGAGACGAAAAAGGAGGAGGACGATGAGGAAAATGAGTAAAACCAAGAGTCAATTTAGTCATCTCGAGCGAGACATGCATGGCATGCCCATCCCCACCCGCCCTCCCGCAGACAGTGCTGGCACAACCGGGAGCCGAGATCACATCGGCGAGCTGGTTTGGCACAGCTGATGCGGGCGCGACAGCGGTTACCGATGGGAACACCCCAGCCCGTCTCAAAGGCTGCGCGGGCTGTCCAGCGCGAGTCGAGGATGCCCAAGAGGACCCAGGAGGCTTCAAGAGGGCCCCAGGAAGCCCCAGGATGTTTCAGGACACGCCAGGGAGCCCTAGGAGGCCCCAGGAGCCCCCTGAAGGCCCCAGCGAGTCCATGGGAGGCCCCGGGAAGGCCCAGGAGACGCCAGGAACCCCTCCAGGAAGTCCCAGGAAGTCCAGGAAGCCCCAGGAAGCCCCAGGAAACTTGGCTGGCAAAGCGCATCGCACGCGCAGATCGGACAGCTAGTATGGCAGAATTCTTGCGGCCACACTTGCGGTGGCCGATGGGAACTGGCCCAGCGCGTCGCAAAGGCCGCGCCAGCGCGCGGGCACCTCGGTACAGGTCGGTGACTCGGGCGAGCGCGATGGCATGATGACGTCGACCACGGTGGCGACATGATGAGGAGGGCGGTGGCTCGCGATGATGGCGACAACGACGGCAAGACCAGCGACGGTGCCGATGATGGCCCCGACTCTGGAAGGATTTGGACATGCGCTCGCGGCGACGCGCGCGCATGTCGCCCGCGTGGTATCTGTTGCACCGGATTCGCGCCCTGGGTGCATGACAGAGCACCGCGACTGTACCGCGCGGCGTGATGAGATCGCTGGCTGTTGCACGAAATCATGGAAATCGCGTGGTTGTCCTATGGTTTCAGCAATTGCGCGCGGGCAGGAATGCTGAATATTTGCCTTGGAAACCCATTGGGTTGTTTGGTTGTTATGTTGAAACGCTTACAAACACCATGTGTCCGATACGAAGTTGACATGAACGCGCGCGCGTGCACTTCGCGGTGTTCTTCTGCGAGGGATTATCGACGCGGACGACAGGACGTCCATGTCGAAAGGAACAAGGACGAAACATGTCGACGTTGTAGTGTCATTTGCAGGTTAGGGCGGGGCGCCCCGGACGGGGCGGCTATCGGTCGGGGAGAGAGGCGAGCAGGAGTAGATCCCAATAAAGAACAAAGATAAAAGTAAGAGCGAAGCGGAAGAGTGACGGACGAGCCGCCACGCCCCACCCCCACGCCCGAGGCACGGAAAGGCCAGCGGCCTCAAGTGAAGAGCTCGTCCCAAGCCCCGCCCAGCGCCGCCAGCTCCACCGCCACCGCGCGCACCTCGATCTCCTCGATGGCGAGGTCGGCGCGGGCGGCTGCGAGCTGGGCTTCCGGCTCGCGGCACTCGGCGGAGGCCAGGCTGAGCTCCTGCCTGGCCCGCTCGACGGCGTCGCCCGCGGCGCGTAGGCCTGCGGCGCTTTCCGTCGCCTGCGCGGCCTTGCCCTTCTTCCTCGGCCTGCCCTGCTTGCCGATGCCCACCAGCTTGCACTTCGTTACGCCGGGGCCACCTAGCTTGACCTCGCACTCCCCGTGGCCTACACCCTCGCCGCGCAGGGGTCCGTGGTCGACGTCCTGGAGGCACGTCGCTGCCCTCCAGCCCGCCCTCGCACTCGCAGCGGCCGGCCCCCATCGCCACGCAGGGGTCCACCGTGGCCGACGTCCTGCATAACGTCGATGCCCTCCTGCTTGACCTCGCACTCGCCGTGGCCTACCCCCTCGCCACGCAGGGGTCCGACGTAGCCGACGTCCTTCAGCACGTCGCTGCCATCCAGCTTGCCGTGGTCGACGTCCTTCAGCATGTCGATGCCCCCCAGCTTGCCCTCGCACTCAGAGTGGTCTACCCCGTCGCTACGCAGGAGTCTACCGTGATCGACGTCGTGTAACGCGTCGATGCCCTCCAGCTTGCCATCGAACTCGCAGTGGCCTACCCCCCTCGCCACGCAAGGGTTCGCCGTGGTCGACGTCCTTCGGCACGTCGATGCCCCCCATGTCTCCTGCTGAAGGGCCCCGTGGAGATTTGGGCCTGGATCGGGGCGCAGCCTGGACCAGCTCGCTCTCGTCCTCGCCGGGGCCTACCCCCTCGTCACGCAGGGGTCGGCGGTAGCCGAAGTCCTTCTTCACGTCGAAACCCTCCAGCTTGCTCTCACCGTCGCAGTGGCCTACCCCCTCGCCACGCAGGGGCCCACTGCGGTCGACGTCCTGCTGCCCACTGGTGCTCTCCAGCTTGCTGCCGAGCCGCGCGGTGACGTCGACGCCGTCCACTGCCAGCGGCACGACGCCCGTCTTGCCGCCGTCGCCCTCGACGACGACCACCTCCATCAGAGGCTCGCCCGTGAGGACGCAGCGCGCGGGCTGCGACACGGACGTCATCACGTCCAGCTCGTCCTTTACGTCCTCGCCGTCCTGGGCGCGGCGGCGAGCGAAGGGTTGCCCCCTCCTATTCCCGCCTCCAGCGGCGACGAAGTCCCGCAGCGGGCCCAAGACGTAGCACTCGTACTCGCAGACTCCGCCCTTCACCTGGCTGGCCAAGAAGGCTGTCGGCGAGCC